TTATTTGAACACCCGTTCTCCCGGCCGAACCCCGTTAGGGCCACCTATCCCTAACATGTATATTTCTTGAAAATATTAAGTATTTGGATATTTTATGTGTGCATACGCGTGTTTCTTATTCACTTTTTTAATCTGTATTCTACCTATTCATCCGTATTATTGTCCTACCGGTATATCGAACCATAGTCAATGGGGCGGTGACTAATTTGGAGAGAGACTTCAGGCGTTCGCTGCGGTCCCCCCCCACTACCTTCCAAGCTGCGCGAAACGGTCCCACACTCTCGGTGTGTCGTGGTTTGCGGGTCGACACAAAGGTAAAGGGCACTGCACGTTGCTTAGAGTTCACAAACCACAAACTATGCACTTTATTCACATAAAGTTTACAAAAACTATGTAAGAAATACAATATAGTGGATTGACACGATCGCTAAGCACTGGAATACGAAATGCCACAGCTGCGGCGAACAAGATGGGGCACGTCTGTTCACTCTGAGCCCTCGGAAAGATCTATACTCTATTTCCCGAGTAACTAGGAGCCTTCCGCGCAGCTTGAAAGGTGGTGGGAGCCGCAGCGAACGTCTCGGACCTCCCACCATGCGTTAATCGCCGCCTCACCGACCACGGTTCATTATACACGGTAGGACAATAAGGACACGCTTGTATTGGGAAGTGGTAAATATGGGTGGAAGATGCGCAGAACGACCGAAAACTGAACCGTGCCGACTCCTAATCACTCGGGAAATAGAGTATAGTCTTCTCCAAAAGTCCACACGGGGAACGAGAACCCAGCGTTGAGATCATTTTTCCCTCGGCCGGAAAGTGGGGATGACGCGACCATGGTGGGGACTGGTACTTGACGGGGGTATGCTAGGCATAGTCAGCGAAGGCGTATGAGGAGAATTGTAGTGGGGATCGAAATACGGGCGAAAAACAGGGGAAGCGAGCCGTGAGGGAAAAATTATCTCAACGCTGCGAGAACCTGCTTACGCTGAAGCCGTGCGCTCGTGTTGTTCGCTGGTGCTGTGAGATGGCGCGGTTTGTCGGGCTCTGTCGATAACGGCTGTGGAACCGCCACAGGTGAACGGAGTATAGGAGCGTTTCGCACAGCTTGGAAGGTGGTGGGGGTCGCAGCGAGCCCCTTCCACATGGTTCAGTATACACGGTAAAGCATTGAGATACGCAGAACGATCAAAAACTGAGCTGTGCCGCTCCTAGACACTCGGGAACTCAGATATATGTTTCTCCGGTCGTCTCTTCGTATACATCGTTTTCGGTTCAATTCCGCGCGTCGTATTCCTCGATGATTGTTACGCGCAACACTTCAGGAGTCGATAACACGTCACGAGATTCGATGGCGCAACGAAAATTCTCGAAGTTTTGAGGAAGACTGTACAAAAACATTATCGTCAACAGATCCGGATTCACTTCGATTCCCATTTCACGCAGTTTATCGATCGTGTCGAAAAATATTCGCAGGTGATTGCGCACATCCTCGCCTTAGTCCATCTTGTGCATCGTGAGCTGTTTCAACAGCATGGCTTTTCGCGCGGGTCCAGTCGATTGATAGATTGATTTGAACTTAAGCCAAACGTCACATGATGTTTCGCAGCCTTTTATCTGCTTTAATTCCGATGGCTTAATCGACAATATTATATCCGACTTCGTCTTCTTGTCCGACCGTCCATTGTCTTGCCGCTTCAACTGACGCAACATTTCCCGCGACGACTTCTGACTTAACCTTCTCGCCACAAACGTATGCCCATCCATCGCTCTTATGGTCGATCCTCACAGAGCGTGCGATGCGATGCGATGCGCTGCGTTTCCGTATTTTTCGAGTTTTCGACCGGGTCTGCCAGTGCTGTAGGCTATACCCTACAGCATATACTGAAAGCATGTAAAAGTCGGAGACTTCGGAGGGCCCCAGTGTTAGCTAGCCGAGAATCGGTAGCTCGAGGACCAAAAGTAGGGGTCACACACCCGCTGTCTACTTACACATAGACGAAAAGGTCGATGCGATTCACTTACACATAGACGAAAAGAAACGCATGCGAT